ATAGTAGGCCGTGATACCAGTCACTAGCGGATCCAGGATTTAATTTTGGGGGGAGGAGGGGGCTTCAGCCCCAAAGGTTTTTTTTTCCACAAAAATAACGATAATGACTTTGGAAAAAAGAAAGGAACTAACTACCTATAAGAAATGGTGTTTAAGTGATTCATAATTACAGGAACAATAATACTTTAAGAGATAATGTTTTAATATTTTTTCCATAAAACATGGTTATATTTTACCATTTTTTTTTGGGGGGGGGAGAAGGGGAAGAAAGCTTCAGCCCCAAACCCATCTCCCCCCCCCGTGATCCCTCAGTCGAATCTTGCTACCTCTAAAAATGGCGGTTGATTTAAAGAATATAAAGTCAGTAACTTAAGAATCGAAAGGTCTATTGTGTACCAACAATTTCTATATGTTATTCTACAGATCGTAAAACGGATAGATATTCAGGTTGGAAGTTTTTATTCGCAAGCGAATAAAATGTGTAATACCATGCAAATCAGACCTCTAATTATAATTTTATGTAAAACTGAATAGAATAATGCAATAAAAATACTTCTAGTAAATCACATTCTGTAAAAACTTATATGAGTGGCCTCATATCAAAGACGGACGTCTGTCATTAGAAGGAGGAGAAAAAGTCAATTTTTGCTTTATAGGTTCGACTCGAGCTGTTTCAGATGATTGTATTTAAGAATGTTAAAACCGCATAGGGAAAAACGCTGGAAATTATTTCTCAATGGTTTATTATTTCCCAACAATTATACATCTAAAGTAAAATTACATTTCTGGTGTCAAAATGAAAGAAATAAAAAGATAATTTCAATTATTTGCCTAAACATTTTTTTTTATCATTAGTAATTTGCTAAATAAAAAAAATAACATTACTTCAGTAACACATTCAAAAATAAAAAACCAAACAAAGGATTTGCAGTAGAACATAAAAAAAAAAAAACTAGAGACCATATCTTTGCTCCTAAATGTCCGATTTTAACAATTTTTTTCAGATTATTTTGTAAACTTTTAAAAAACCATACAATATTGACAAAAAAGTGTATACTTTTTGAGTTATTAACAATCTAATTTTACCATCCCTCGTAACATTTTTTCCAGATTCTTTTCGTTGAAGTATCATAAATTTAAAAGGCATCAAGAAGAAGATTTTGGCCAAGTTTCATTGAAATCGGTACATTCGTTTAGACGCTGCAGTCTACAGCAACGCTGGTTTTCGGCCGCCATTTTGAAAGTAAATGGCGGATAGTAATGTCGATGAAGGAGGATCATCCTCGGGTGACCTCTGATTATAAAATCCAAATTTGAAAAAAGTTGGTCTAGTATTTTCTGAGAAAATGGCTGACGGCGGACGGACAAAAAATTTTTTATTCGTTTTTCGAATTCTACGTATCCTGAAACGCGAAACCTCAAATTTTGAGGAGGCTAAGTTTTTGAATTTTTCGTTCGATTAGAATGGTTCATTATTAAAAATAACAAACCAAACTATCGTCGGAATTGATTGAAATTGAAGCTATGTTCCAAGCTTTTCCTCAACTTTTTAAAAATGACAAATGTTCGTCTTATTGTGTTTAGAGTTTATTAAGCAATAATTACAATTTGATCCGTCCAGATGGCGACATCTATCGGTCGGTGCCATTAATAATAAATAAATAATTTCAAGATGGTTAAATCTTTCTAATTGTTGTCTTTGATATGAAGCCACTTATATGGTTATATAATTATATGGGAGATTTCCCATTGTGATACATTTCTCAGCCTTGAATCACATTCGTTAAAAATTAGGCCTTGAAACGAAAAAAATACTTATATATTTTTTTTAACTTTTCGTTATCATCGGTATTTTTACTGTCGATAGTTCTTCACTCTGTTAGAACTAGAACTTTTTCCCTTGTAACTTTCCAAATAAACGTATAACAGAACTTATATGTTTAAAAAACTTTTATTTATTGTCAAATTCGCCGTCAATTCAATGAAGAGCTACATCACCTAGTACCTTTCATCCGATTTTCATGAAATTTTCAGGGATTGTGCACGTTGGTGCCTAGATGGTCCCATATCAATTTTATCTAATTCCATCCAGCACTGCCTCCTACGCCCGCGCAAACATACTTTTTTTTTGTAGAATAGTATAGAAATTACCTAGTATGAATTTTATTTAATAATTATTATTTATTCTATTTAATAATTAGAATTAGTATAAATAATTGTTAACAATATAATAGCAGTGAAATGTGAAAGGCATTGATCATATGGAGTGGATGTTAGGATAAGACAATATTTTTATGGGGTTATAAAATTACAGGTTTTATTCAAAGAGTTAATTTAAACCGCATTGTTTCGCCGATTCTAAACGTTACTGGCATAATACTTCCTGCCGTTACTTAGATTTCGTGTAATTTTCAATAAATTTAAATGAATTTTTACTCTGAATTTGTAAAAAAGAATAATCTCATTTGTGACTGTGTTTATTTCTATTGTAGTTCAACTAGCTCGTTACGTACATCGAGTCTTGTGTTCGTGTTCAAGCATCGAGTGATTTTTACATATATTTTTAAATTCCAGCTTAAATAGTTTTGTTCTGACTGAAGAAAACTATTGGTTTCGTTAGCTCTGAAAAAAAACAAAAAGTTTAGTTCTTCTATGGATGTTTTGTACCATCCATTTTTGGAGTGAAAACATGCCGATTAAGCACATATTACTACTGTTAGTGCAAAAGGTCATATGTAAGCATTTTTAACTTTTAACTATATTTGTGCTAAAGGTGACATTTTGTATTCTGCAACTGATATAAGCATTTTGCTACGATGAAAAATAGCAGAGGGCAATAAATTATGAAATTATACTAATAAATCATAAAGGAACAATTAGTTTGTGTGTTCCTGTAAAACACCCAATGTTTAGGTACGACCGTTTGCACTAACAGTAGTGATATTCATAATCAGTACACACTGGATTTTCGAATATTCGAATCAGCAAATATGCAATCTACTTATGCGGATCTTTTTCGCATTTTAGTATTCGCTGATTAACAAAACTCGTGGATATCAAACCCGTATATGTTGAGGGATTAATGAATTTCCGAAAACGGCTTCTTCCAGATATTTTATTCTCACGTGAAAAATTTTAGACCTTGTAATATAGATATTTTTTAGCCAAAGTAAACGGTGAGAAAGCTATACTGACCTTACTTGGCAGACGTTTTTTTTTTATTATTCATCGCATAAAATGATGATGAATGCATTTTTTACTAAGAAATCTATTACAGAAAATTCTTTGGGAAATGTAACGGGGGGGAAAATCTTAGATGACAAATGCCTGTACAATTTACTCTCATTAGAATTATACTAATATGTCTGTACCCTGGAAGTAAAAAACGCCATGTTCATTTTTGTATTTGTTCGGAGAGCTAATTTTTCATAATTTTGAGCTACTAAAATTTGTTTCTCGTTAGAAATAGAAATAGAAAATAATTTTAATCTTGGACAAAGTCCCTTTAGAATAACAAAATAGTACAAAATTAAAAGACTATATCTGGCCTAAATAAATCAGTAACAAAAAAAAGAAAAAGTAAAGAAAATATTAGTTAAACAAGCTATATACAAAAAAAAACTCTATATACAAAACACTTAAAACTATGTACAGTAGGAAAAATTATAATTATACACTTTTTAGAAAAAAATAAAATAAAAATTACATTGAGTTCTTCTTTAAAATAAGCTATGTGTTTCTGCTAACAAATAAAAGACAAATCTGACAATATAAATTTAAATAATGAATAATATGTAAACAGATCATTATGTTAATGTAACTATAGCTACAGTTTTAATTGTATAAGGTTCGTTACTAGATTGAAATTGTATAAAGGAAAGAGATAGCTCGGAGTGAAATTGTATAAGGTTCGTTACTAGGTAGTGTCCTTTATCTTCGAGCAACAGATATTATATTATAATAAATAAATAATAAAAGGCTTAGCGAACCCAAAGGTTCGATGCCGACACCTTCAATCGCTTATTACACACCTCCCTCCACCGTTCGCCGTCCACCTTCGCTTCGGTCTACCCCTCGGACGTTTACCATTCGGCACAGCAAATATTAATCTTTTAGAAATTCTCTCATTACTAAGCCCAACAATTTTACAAGCCCATATGATTCGCAGCGATGAAATTACCTCAATTATATTAACCGTTGCAGTTCACGCAATTCGGAGTTGTGTAACCGTCTGAACTCTCCGGTTAACTCATCCTTCTTCGGTCCGAATATTCTACGCAATACTTTATTTTCAAAAACCTTAAGACGCTGCTCATCCCTTAATGTAAGAGGCCAAGTTTCGCATCCATAAATAACTGTAGGTAAGATAATGGTTTTATAGATTCTAATTTTTAAGTTCTGGAACAAGAGGCGTGAGCAAAGTAGTTTTGTCTCACAAAAATAACAAGCATTTCCCGCCTTCAGTCAAACCTCTTCTTCAATTTCGTTTTTTCTAGTTATCGTAGAACCTAGATACCTGAACTTCTCTACCTGTTCAAACATATTACCATCTATATCGATATCACCAGTAGTATGGCCATTTTTGTAGTTAGCCATATATTTCAGATATTATATTCTAGAAGCTGTGGCATATCTAGAATCGAGCGGATTCCAAATGCAGCTATTAGAGACAAGGTCGGATGTCAAAAGAAAATCCTTCACCTGATCGGGACCAAACGGCTAAAGTGGTATGGCCACTTAATGCGGATGGATCAGAACCGCTGGCCAAAGAAAATTTATAACTATATGCCACCTGACAGAAGGAAGCGTGGAAGGCCAAAGAAGAAATGGACAGAGGACGTGGAGGAAAGCATGGCAGCCAGAGGGCTTCGTGAAGGAGATTGGATGGACAGGGAGCAGTGGCTTTTGGGTGTTGGGGATATGACTCCTTAAGTTGTATAAAACCCAAACAAAAAAAATATTCTATTATACATTCTAAATAATACAACAATGACACTAACCTTGTTGAGCTCGTCGACGTAGGCTTGCATGGCCTGCTGGCTAGGCATGTTGCCCAGCCTGGCCCAGGCGTCCCACTTGGCCCGCTTGACGACGTCCCAGAAGGCGGGCCGCGGGCTGCTCACCGGTCCCTCGGTCGCCTGCTTGAAGTACCCGTAGAACCGCAGCATCAGTTCGTTCGAGGGCTGGTAGGACCCTGCAACAATGCCAACAACACATAGTAAAAAAACAAATACTAAATAATAAAATACAATACAAAACAAGACAACACTTTATTTTTGGGTCCTCAACTTCCTCGCCTTTAAGCCTATACGGGGTTTTTCCTGGGACAGGAGGTGAGGGCGGGGATTTAGAAGACTACCCTTGTACCGGGAAGCGAACTCTGACTATTTTTTATCAATGTCTCATATATCAGGTACATGGCAGTGCTCGGCACACAGAGCCAGCCCACCCTCCGAAGACGCAACACTTTTTTTTTTTTTCGCTCTTCCCTACCTCGCCTTTTTTAGGCTATACGGGTTTTTCCCGGGCCGAGGGAGGGGAATTTAAAATTCCTCCGGCACCGGGACGCGAACTCGAACTTTTTAAATCTTCTAAAATCTGTAATCCGGTTGCCAGGCAACTCGCGGTGCTGTGCACACGCTTTAGCCCATCCCGCCCCCTAAGACTCAACACCTGTTACATAGATTTCAAGAAGCTTTACAAAAAAATGACGACCATAGACTTTCTATTCTGGTTGGAGAGACGATAAATTAAGATTTATATGTATATTTATAATTTAATATTTCATAGATATAGTACTTTTGCACTGTATCCATCCATCCATATCTTCAAATTTTAGATAATGTAATTTTCTAGGTTTTTCCCCATTACCCAAACAAGTCAGCTTCCCCTATACCTGCCCTTACCCTGGTTTTCCAGTTCTAAGTAAAACTCCTAGCTGAACACACCTGTAAGTCTCTAATTTTATTTACTTATTTATTTAATTTTCTGGTTTTCTTTCTCTACATTCCTTTAATATTTATTATTTCATACTATAACTTTTTTCCTTTTCTTCCAATCTCTCCTGTGGATCTGTAGAAGTATATTCACATTTACATTTATTATATATTACATTACAACAATTGTTAGCATCTATTTACTTGAGTTTATAATTTTAATAAGCTTATTCACATTGTTTATAATTTTTTGTCTAAATATTATGTAACTTCCACAATTCTCTATCTTTTTGTATCTTGTCCGTTCTAGCCCTGAAGAAGACCTGCAAAGTCGGGTCGAAACTTTGCCATTTAATAAAAATAGTTTTACCACTATTCAGCCTATTTATGACCGCCACTCCGGACCATCTGCTTCCTTTAAAAATAAATATACTTATTTATTTTTACTTTTTTTTTTTTTGACTGATCATCCCAACCATTCTTCTCTTTAATTATTTACTATATGATATGTTGCTACAATTAATTGCTAAAATTTCAATAATAGGAACATAGGGCGTGGGAAAATACTTCAAGGCATACCAACTTCAAGGTCTTAGCTTAACCATCTAGTCGACATTAACTATTCTCTCTCTCTCTCTCTCTCTCTATATATATATATATATATATATATATATATATATACACACTACACACAGATACACAGCTTTCGGGTTGAAGCCCCCTAAAATTAAATCCTTAATAAGCGGCTAATGGCTGCTTCACATATGTTTTGAGTCATCATATTCTTCCTAAATCGTTATTTGTGTTTTTCTCTCAACAGCTGTTAATTAGTTGTTGTATCAGTTCACAGATTTCTAATAAGTTCTTATGATTTAACATTACGTTCCACATATACCATATCAATTCATTAAATTATTACTATCAACATTTTTGGAAAGATGTTGTATTTAATTCATTGTCCTTTTGGTCACGTCGAGAGATTAAAAAATTGTTTATTGTTTAGGTAAGTAAAGTTATATCTAGTCACTTCTGTAAATAATTTAATGAGCTGTGGTTTTTCTTATTCATCGCTACGACCTTGTCGTATATCGACATCACCACGTTTAAGATAACAACTGCTCTTTATTATTAATTTCTCAGTAATGTTTATTTAACGATCGCTGTTATGATCATGTTTTATTGACAGATTTAAACCATAATAAATAAATACGAGCCTAGTTTCCAAAGCAAATTATAACAACAATGAATAATAAAAAATAATCTCAACACCAAAACTTTGATCAACAAATATTTACTTTATTGATAGCTCTTTCTTTAATTCAAGTTTTTGGGTTTCTTTTGTCGATTTTAAAACAGTTCCTCTAAAAGTCGTTTTAAAAAATTACTTTTAATCTTAGGCTAATCAAACAAACGGCAATTAGAATTCAGTAATTCATTTAAGATAAATTCTAACTCTAATCAAAACTCAATCACTGTTTATTTTTCATTTAATATAACTCAGTTCCAATAATTTAAATAAATAAGATTAAATTTTTACTATGGACCTAGAAATTTATTACAAAAAATTTTCTGAGAAATTTTACTTTAAAAATCTTTTTTCCTAAAAAGTTAAACAGAAGTTGTTAAAATTTATTTTTTTAAAAAAGTTGAACAGCTTTTTTTTTCAAAATGTTGCAGTTTTTTTTATTTTTGTTTCGGTGATTTTCATTTCAGTCCCTCCAGAAATGACGTGGGCGAAGCCCCTATATAACATGACAAGTTAATTTCACTGAACATATTAACTACAACATTAATGATGAACATATAACGGAGGACTCATCAAGATTTGAAAATGACCCTTAGTATGGTCGAAACGTCAAAATTAATAGTGTATCAATAAAATGTTGGTGATAATTGGCCTAATTTATTGTAAAAAAATAAAACTTCAAGACACCAAAAGTAAGAAAAATGAACAGAAGAAACATTCGAATTTCATTCAATTACTATAAAATTATTTCAAAATCAGTCAGAACATTTTGAATAAATTATATTAAAACATTTTAAACAACGCACCTCCTGGGTTCAAATCCATACTTTTGAAAAATCTGTACTAAAGCCTTGCAATTTATAAGTTTTTAACACTGACAATTAATAAATCTCATCAAATTACCTTTACTCCTCGTCGCAAACCAATCGCTTATGTCAAGAAAAAAAAAAGTATTAGCGTAATAATTAACGTTCCTGTGATTGCCATTTTTTTTTTTATCTTTCAAGGATTACTTTAACACTATTTTATTGAAGTAGTTTTTTTTCCCTCTTTTTCTTTCAGAATAATTATGATGCTTATTTCCTCGCTCGGCGCAGGTTAAAGAGAAAGTGGGCAAGTGATCTGTTTTACCAGTAATCAATAATAAAATTAAGATAATATAAAGTAAATCAAGTAAATTAAAAAATATTTTCTATATTCGCAACACAGTTGCAAATATAAAAGAATAAACAACAAAAATAAAATATTTAATTTTTTTTGTTAATACTTCAACAGAAACCCGCATGTGCATGGAAAATGAATCAGCTGTTCAAAAATCGATTTAGAGTAGTAGGAACCAGTGTTGCCTTTCGTACGAGGATCCTCATTATATTTTTATGAATGAAGTTTAGATTTGCATTACAATTATTTTTACTGCACTATTGTTTACATTAATATGTAATACTTAAATTCTGTTGCTTTATAGACCAATAAAATGCAATTATATCTTCTTTAATTAGAGTATACTTATTGTTTCCTTTGTAAAACCATGATTGTATATATATATATATATATATATATATATATATATATATATATATATATATATATATATATATATATGTTTGTTTTTTTTAATTTTCTAGAAACATAATTAAAAAAAGAAAATTTTTATCATAATTTTAAAAAAATATTTTCTATTTTTATGGAGTATAAAATAAAATATAAGAAAGTATATCCATTATTTTCTACATAAAACTACGATTGTTACATAACTTAATAGTTCTAAGTACGCAAAATAAAAATAAAAATATAATAATGTTGCTATTTTAATTTATATAGAAAGTTATCTAATTGTTTCTTAAAATGTATACAATTTCTATATATTTAATTTCGTGTCTTAAATGAAACACCGCCGTAAACCTATGACTTCCTGTCCTACAGTATCCTTTAATAATATCCCACTTATTCCTGTTGAACAAATCCGATAGATAGGACTCCACCTGGACAAACGACTCACTTGGAACCCCCATAATACCAGACTGAAATGCCCGACGTTTAGGACTACTGCAACTCTTACTAGACAAATGCTCTAAATTTCCTTCTATTTACATATTACAATACTAATTACAAAGACTCATATACATGATTATAATAAGACCTATTTGGACTTACGGGATCGAGATTTGGGGATCTTACTAAACCATCAAATTCCTCTCGTATCCAATCCAAAATCCTCAACGTTCCTTACTTTGCCACAAATAAAAGCATACATAAAGGCCTTAATGTTCCATATGTTTCCGATTTGGCCCAATCCAGATACCTATCCTTCAATAACAAACTGCAGAACCATCCGAACCCTCTCGTTTCTAACCTTGCTTCTTCCTCGATCCCTGATAACCCTACGAGGCGTCTGAAAAGATGTCCCCGGGACCTTCTAATATAGAAATATAATTGGAGTGCTACCAATGGGTAGTTTCTCTTCATGTTGTACATGTCATGTTACTTGTTTCATATTTACTTGTTGTATTTATCATTTAATACAGTTGTAAATTTCAATAATAAAAATAAATAAATAAATTATTATTTATTTATCGAAGTAATATATTACTAAATCAGTAAGAAAAAAAAAACTGATTCGTTAATACATTAATTATATTTCAGCTCAAATTTACAGTTTTCCTCTCCCCCATGTAAATACTCAATTTACAAACGGTTTTTGTGTAATGGCTTGCCATGTGCATACCCCACACTTGCATACTAACTGTGTAATTTTCCATTTTATTCCATATAAAATATCTTAAAATCAGTTTACCACATATATGGTGCCGACTCTGAGCAAATTTATGTTGTTTTGGCTCTCAAAAATATATTGAAAAGAAATGAGCAGCATTTTATAGGTAATCACTTAATACAACAAAAAACTTGCGCACGTATCTTTCAATATTGTAAATGTACTTAATCGTGTTTTAGTAAATGCTCTTAGCTACTAAATAATATATTTACAAAGTTTTTCACTGAAGTGAAATAGAA